CGCAATAGAGAACAATGAAATTATCCAAATTATCAAAAATTATTTGATAATTCAAAAAAAAAATTATTAAATATAAATATTTCATTATAAATAAAAAAGATAAAAAAAACCTTTACGAAAAATTTTCGGTGAACTATAAAGGGCAACTAAATTATCTTTTATTTCTCCGAATTTCATTAGAATTATTTTCTTTCGAAAACGATTAAAACGATGATTTACCAATCTCTTTAAAGAGTTTTCGTTTCGGCAAATATTTTTTCCGTTTTTTTCGCAATTTCTTAAATTTTGAAATTTTATCATTTCTTAAACGCCTCTGAAATCCTTTCTTTATTCTTCAAACTTTTTTTTCATAGTTTCTCGCTATCGCTTAAAAAAATTGTACAATTCTGCATATATTATCATTATTATTATTCACCGAAAAATTATCGTAATAAATTTTTTTAAAAAAGAAAAATTACAAAAAAAATTTTTTTTTTAAATTTTTAAATTTTTTTAAAATTTTTTACAACTTAAAAAATTCAATTTAAAAAATTTTCTTTTTTTCTTTATCAACCGCTATTTTTTCTTGTTTTTGCTTCATCAAATCAAATTTCCCATCTAAAAAAATTTTCTTCAAAAATTATGAATAAAAAAAAATCTAATATTCGAAGAATAATTAAGAAGAATAAGGAAGATTAACTCAAATAAAATACTTTAAATAATTTATTATTTGCAGCTTTTCTATAAAAATTTTAAAAAAAATCATTAAACTGAATTAAAAATTAAAAAAAAAAAGAAATACAAACACAAAAAGTAAGCGGCATAGAACCGCTCAGTAGTGGATTGTTGCTCGCAGCGGCGATGCTAAGGTTCTCGCAAGAATAATCGTGTCCAAAAAACCGGCTGATGCTAGCTATTCCGTACTTCTATCATCAAGGGACTTCCTGGTACATTTATTCAGTGCGAAAAGCCAGCGGAACTAGTCTGACCAGTAATTGTAATGGCTCTTAAATATATGCTTAAATATAAATATATTTTTGCGAAACGCGAATACATGAAATAAAAATAAAAAAAGAGTAATAAAAAAATAGTTCGCAATATGTCTATCAAATGAAAATTTTAAGAAATTAAGGTAAAATAATAAATTTTATTAAATTTATTATTACAAGTTTAGAAATAACCGCAAATTTAATTTTAATTATTTAATTATTATTATTATTTAAATTACTTATTTAATTTTAAATATTTTTAATTTTAGGCTATTTAAAAGGTGCATTCAATGAGAAAAAAAAATTAATCACCAATAGTCATTACCAATATTCTATTTTATTCGATTAACTAAAAATTATAAAAATTTTTTTATAAATTTTTAGTCCCTCGAAAGAAAATTCGAAATTTAAAAGTTTTCTTCTTATTATTAACGATTTTTTCTAACTTTTTTCTAAACTTTTCATTTGAAAAAAAATTCCGAAAAAAATAAAAAATTAAATTTATGTAAAATTTCCAAAATTTATTTATCGTTTTTACCATTTATTCATGCCTAATTATTCACTGCACTAGTTTAAAAACACTTATGTGAAACCCTCCATTACTTGTCTCCTCCTTCCCCGCTCCCTCTTTCCCACCCCTCTTTCCCTTATCACCCACTTTTTTCGCATAGCAATAGCCCATCATTGACATAAGTCGTTTTAAAATTGCCGCGTTTCGGCGAAGTTGGATGATTCGTCCACAATAGCAAAATTCGTTCACAGAAAATAATGTTCGGATGCAAAGTGCAGTTGGATCGACTGCTCAATGCATATTTTCTCACAAAGGAAAGAAGAAAAAGGAATGCGAAAAAAAAGGAAAGATAAGGAAAAGCGAAGAAGAAAGGTGGATTCAAACAACATTCCTTATCTAACTCCATACATTCTTGATATGGCTTTAACGAATAAAGATAAGCGTATATCCCGTCGGGATTGCGCCTTCTCTTCGTCGGGGCGCATTTTTTGCTAGCACTACTTATGTTTCGCACATTGGAGAAGGAATTTTACATGCTACTGATAATCTTCGGATAATCCAAAACTCCAACCAGATTAATTTCATTTTAGTCGTTGGAAGAGTTCCGTACTAAATAGCCGCTCCCTTTCACCGCGGCGTTGCAATCTCCAACGCATCAGACCATGGTTTTACGTTATGCTTCGAGCCAAAATTTGCATCTGAAATTTAAAATATCGTGGAACAACTTGTTATAACAACTGGAATTGTGTGACCGGCTAGTTCCACTGGCTGTTGAAGGTTATAAACCCTTATCATCCTTATCACCCTTATAGTAATTTCCAGACAGAAATAGAAGTATTGATCGTCATGTTTTGGTGATGATGGCAAAAATCGAAGATTTTAATTGGTTAAGAATTTAAATAATTGAAATTTTGCAGCATTCACAATTTCTAGCTTGGCGCACTTCGTTAGCTGGAAAATTATCAGGTAAGTAATCACTTGCTGATAACAGCTGTAGTATTATCACCCAAATTTTTAATGGTAATTTATGTTTTTAATTGCTTATTCTAGGTTATTACTTATTGGATATTCTAGGATAGCCGAATCTCTATCCATCAGCATGAAAATCTAAACCATCATCCACTCGTTTATCGTGTTCTCCTACATAATAGATTATTATTAAATTATATGTTAAAAAGAAAATATTTACGAAAAAAAAATTCAACTATGCAAGGTTGAAAAGGTCAAAGGCTATATGTACTTATCAGAAAATAAAATCAATATGAAAAGTCTTATCAGTTTAATCTTATCAGCAAATATATAATTTTGTAAAGTGAACAATGTATTAGAATAAATGAATTATGAAACAATAATTTTAAATAAAAAATTCTAATTAGTAGTGGCTTTTGGCTTGAAAATTGTTAATTTATGAAATTCGCCTAATCCTATCGATTCATCTATAGTTCTCCAAAGTTTTTGTCCCGGCACTCCAATAACCAGTAAGATCAGCCAAGTGAAATTAGGAGCTGAAATATTCCTAATTTTTTTGCAATAATAATGAGGTTTCTTTTTTTTGTGCATTATGTAAAGGTCGAAAGGTCAAAGGGTCAAAAGGTCAAAAGGTCAAAAGGTCAAGTAGTTAGAGTTTTAAAATGAATATTATACTTTGAAAAATAATCCCTATTGACGAGAAGAAGTAAATTATTGCGAAATACTATTTTTTATTGCGAGAAAAAGAAAAAAACTTGCAATTATTGATTCGACAATATAAACAATATATCGTATAGTTTGATGTTAGCGTTCATACTGTTTGTTTCAGCTGCGATAGGACAAATAAGCTTTTTTTTATGAGTCAGAAGGTTGTTTAAAGGGATCCTTAGGGGTTGAGGATGGTGCGGAAAATCCCCTAAGGGTGAATAAATCTTAGAAGTCTTTTCTTAGCATAGCGTATAATTAGGATGGCTAATGAAATAAATCATTCGGCAAAGCTATTCTTTCCTTATGGAACTTTACACACTAAAGGAATGCACCTCAACTGAACGGAATAGATGAATTTTTACGGATGATTTCGTAGGATTATCGCGCGCAATTGACAGATAGCCCTCACCATTATTAGTTAAATTCGTTTCACTAGCTTATCGCACTGGACAAAATTTGCCAAGCAGTTTCTTGAATTTGCCATAGAAGTACAAATAAGGAAAGGTCAAAGGTCAACAGTAAGAATCGCCAGTATTATCTGAATTTTTGGACTGATTAAACTCTATAAGGAGTTGAACTCCGACATCGGCGCCTCGATTTAAGCCATCCAACCCATTGAGCCATTCCGTTCTTCGATTAACAAAGATTACTATTATATGAATCATGGTTTCTTTTGCGATCTCAACCTATTTTGTTTTTGAGTTTTGATAAAATCGATTTATTTCCGTCGGGGTTTTTTATTGCTTCACGATTAATTTTCATAGTCGTTAGTGAGTCATATGACAATGAATAGTCGGTTGTGAATGGTTGTGTTTGTAAGAGGAGTTTGGACGGACCGAGGAGGGGTTGGTGGAGAGGGGTTGGGGCAAGGGGAGAGGGAGGATGCGGTGGAAGAGGTGCGGCGCCAAGAAACTGAGGAGAAATAAAAAAAGAAAAATGGAATATAAAAAAAATGGAATATAAAAATTTTTGTTATATAATTTTACCATTCTCCAATTTTTTCTCAAAATTTTTCAATTTTCTTATAAAATTTAAAAAAATTTCGATTTCTAGAAAAAAAATTTGAAAATTAATTTTTAGAAAACTATGGGAAAATTATCATTAAAAGAACTTTTAAAAGATAATTGGGTTAGAGTGGTTCTTAAACAGTTCGAGTGGGGGGAGGGGGAGAGGTTTAACTCGTACTTGTCAGAAGTGGCGGATTTTTCTCTGTGAGAAGTGTCTTCAGGATTTAAGATGTTTGGAAGGATCCTAAGGGGTTAGGGAATGGTGTAGAAGATTCTCCTAAAAATTAGCGATTGAAAATATGGATGGAGTGCCTTGCGGATGAATGAATGAAATAAATGAATTCTATTCGTTGGCTTTGTTGAGGGAGGGGTGGGGGGTGGGGGGGGATTCCATGAGATGCGCGCAATTGACGCATTTTGTTACTGTTGTGTGTCATTTTCTTTGACGTTCTAAACAACCTTTTGTGTTTGAGTGAACGTCGTTCTCTTTGTTAAAACGAATCATTTGTCTCCATGGAGGTTTTATTGCCGTGCGATCAATTTCGCAATTATTAGTTATGTCATATGGCATTGGATAGTGGATTGAGAGTGGTTGTGGTTGTAAGAGAGGGGTTTAGGCGGGGAGAGGAGAGGAGAGACCGGCAAAAGAGAGGGGGAGGGGAAGGGACTGCAAGACATCTCAGCTTGATAAGATGAATTTAAATTGAGTCATTTCAGCTTTAGAAAAATTAGAAAATAATAGCCATAAAAGATGAAGTTTTTTAAAAAATTTCCCACCTGAGTTTTTTTTTTTAATTTAAAAAAGTTCGAAAAATATGAACTAAATTTTAGAAAACCATGGGAAAATTATCATTAAAAGAACTTTTAAAAGGCGTTATCAATGAAAATGATCAAATAAAATCGGATGATCTCGACAAATTAATCGATCGACTTGAAATTCTCGGGAAGAAAGTTGAAAGCGAATATGTTCCACGATCGACGACGAGGAGGTCAAAGGTGAAACAAGGATGTAAAATGATTGGCGAATGTTTGCCAGGTCAAATGATCAAAACTCGTAGCGACCAAGTTTGCTTTTTTTTTATTTCTAATTTCTCTATTGAATTTTGTATAAATAAATATAAAGTTGAAATGAGCGATTCAAATTCCTTGAGCACCACGCACCATTTGCGTGCCCTTCGTAGAGAGAGGCGGATAAGACGAGGAGGAAAGAGTTTATCTTTGGGATGAAAAGCGATATTAAAAGAGGATAAAGAAAATTATCGGTGATTTTGTGCAGTTACTGGATCTAAGTCCATTTCATGCTAAGGTTCATATTTCTATGTTTCATATTTATTTAGGTGCAGAATTATGCTGGTGGATTCGTCTTTCGTACGAACGATGAGAATATAGTGCGTCGATTTTTGATTATAGGAAGTACAACGGGTACGTATTATGTTTCAGGACATGAATTAACGTTGGAGAGAGCCGAACATCTTTGTGATTTAATTGAACAAGGTTTCTTTTTTTTTATTTTTTTATTTTTTATATTCGTCGTACCATTTGTTGCTTTTTTCTTTTTTTTCGTTCTCTTAGTTAAAATTTAATGATTAATATTTTCAGTGGTTTTTTTTACAATATTTCCAACCATTTGACTTTTTTTTCTTCAGCACACATTCTTGGTTAAATCTATTCGCCATTGGCGAATCAAACATTTTTTTCCAGAAAATCATTTGGCGATAAAAATAAAAATGGTTCGCCAGTACTACGCAGTTGTATTTTTGAAAGACTACTTTTGTAGGAATCAAAACCTAAGCATTGGCTCAGAAATAAAACTAATAACCCACCAAGCCGTTACTATCTTTAATAACATAGCGTATATCTTAAAGTAATTCTCTTCAGGTAAAGGACCTCTTATTCTTCGTGAATTGGTGGATATTTCTCTAGCGGGTAGTGCGCCGAAACAGGAATCTACTTTATTCGCTTTGGCATTGTGTGCCCGCTATAGAGTTTGTTTTTTTTTCATTTTATAGATTTGTTGTGTATTTTGAATTTTAAAATTGAATATTTTACATATTTGAAAATATGAAATTTGTTTTGTTTTGTTTCTAATTACCATTGCATATTTATGTCGAAAAAAAATTAATAAATAAATTAATAAAAAAAAAATGAATTTTTCGATGATTTTAATTCTAATTATTTTATATGTAATAATTCTAACTTGATGATTTCAAGGTATGCAACACTAAAAATTGGATTCCTCCTCCAGAAGTTAGTGAATGCGAAGTGGAACATAATGAAAGTCATGAGAAAAAGAGTGCCACTGATTATAAAGAGGACAAAATGGATGTTGGAGATAGGCAGAACGATGTCAGTAAGGACGTTGATGATATAGCGGAAAAGATGGATAAAAACTTAGATGTTGAAAACAAGACAGAAGAAGGTATGAATGAGGATATATCTGGTGGTTCAGAACTCACTGATGAGGATTTAATGGAAGCCGAAGTAATAGTATCTCCATGTAAGAAAAGACCGAAACTGGATGCGGGAAAAATTGAATTCACTCGAATGAGAGAAAAATGGTTTCCTTCAGAAATATATTTGGAATATCAAGGATTGTTACAAAAAGTGGCTCTTTATGCAGTACATAAGGTATTTTCAGCTATATTAAATAAATTTTTAAATCGAACGTAAAGTTTTAAATTTGAATATTTTTAGGTAGAAATTTATTGTGGAAAAATTTGATTTTAACATTTTTTTTATCCTAATATTTTGCCGGTTTTTAGGTATGTCGAATCCCAACGCATTTATTTACATTTTTAAATTATTGCAAAGTGATTGCAATGAGAACGGGTTCAAAGAAGCATTCAACAGGATTCAGCCGAGCTTTCCGGGCGATGATTGCAAAATGGTACTTTATTTTTCTTCTCTTTGAATTTGAATTGAACGATTAACGCTTATAATCTCTGGGTTACCTTCAAAGTGTCAAGTTTAATCCACATCCGCTCAGATTTACCTAAATTTAATTGTTTGCTCATATTTTTCGGTAATTTTAAATTGTTATAGGTATTATGATTATGATCCTGAACGACTAGTGATGCACATTACAAAATATGGCAGTCGTTCTGGTTATTGTCATATGGATCTTTTTCGCCTTTCGCATATCCATCCAAAAATTTCCTTTCCAAATGAACATAATTATTTAAAGAGGCATCTAGAATTCGATTATATTTTCAAAACCATTGCAGATGGTACTTCTTTAACATTTCCAGACTTCTAATTCCAATTTCTTTCACCACTTTTGAGTGTTTACTTTGTGAGGGAAATACAGTTGGTTAGTAAGCAATGGTCTGATTTTTTAACGATAGATTTATTTTTATCTAAAATAGAAGTCGAATCTGCCTCTCAGTATGATAATTTTAATAACTATGTCCACATAATTATCCTGACACCTCGGTTAAGAGCATTTTTGGATTTCTGCATTTTCAGAATATCGTCGTAAAAAACAGTGTAAAAAATCGAAATTGGAAGATGTTGGGAGTGGAAAATCCAAAGAATCGAAGCATAAAGTGAAAAATTATGAAAAACTAAAAACACTGGAATCCCGTAAATCAGCAATGGCTACAAAAATCGAATCTTCAGATGCTATAAAATTTCTCAAAAATAGTTTCATCCTAAAAACGACTGAAGAACCTAAAGAGGCGGCTGAGTTAATAAAGTCATTTGGTATGATATTTTTTTCATTATTTTATTTTGTTTTCTTTTGCGCAAAATGCCAGATGGATATTTTCAGATAATTTTTTTTTTCCACTTCATATATTAAGCAGCTTTCAGGATTTGTGCATGAACATGTGCCATCTCACTTGCTAAACTATAAAGAAGTTTGGACTGCTTTACTGAAAGATATGCCGATGACAGCTTTTATAAGAAACCTGGGAAAAATGACCGCAGTTGGAGTTTTCGACGAGAAGTCTTTTTTTTTAATTTTTTTTTCTTTTTAGTTAAATCTGCATACGATTTTTTCCTATTTCTATAGAAAATGAATTTTAATGACTGCTTAGTGGCGTAAATTTTTATGATTGCTGGTAATACGAAAAAGATCTGAATTATTTTTTAAATAAGATTTCAGGGATTCTTGTGCATTGGCAGTATCATACTTGACTAACCAGGAGAAACTTCGTAACGCTCGCATTCATCCATTATCAGTGCTTGTTGCTTTATCCGCTTACGCTTTTAAAAGCGGTGATTGCTTAGGAAAAGTGGAATGCATTCCCAATGAGGAAATTTGCTCTGGATTGAGCAAATGCTTTGAACTTACTTTTGTCAATGTTAATCCCACGAATAAAAGATATTGTGTGGGTCTCGATGTTTCCGGTTAATTATATTTTATCATAAGGATATGCGAAATTTTTTTTTTATTCAGAAAAAGTCTTGGAATTAGTTGGAAGTCTGAAAATTTTTTAATCCGTAATGGAGTTTAACCCATCGCAGTGGCAAATATATATGATGTAAATACCAGGTAGTATGTACCAGCCTGCATCTCCAACGAGTACCATGAATTGCATAGAAGCCGCAGTTGCTCTTTGTTATCTGTTGCTGAAATTCGAACCAAAAGTTTTTTTATTTCTTCTTATTTTTTTTATTTTCATTGAATTTCTTAATATAATAGATGTTTTGCACTTGAGAATGAATTGCGTTTTACCATTTTATCACTTTTTGAAAAGTATTTTTAGCGTTAAATTATCAGATGTACAGAGATTAATTAAATTTTGTTTGTTAATCTATGATAATTGTTTTCCATTTACTTTGGAGAGAAGCTTATTAGCTTTTTCCATTTTCCTGTCGTATTTTTTTTATTTTCCAGGTGAAAACGATGGTATTCGCTTCCGAATTTGAAGAGATCTTTTTCAATAGTAACTGGACTTTACAAGAGGTACTAGGAGGTAAATATAAAAATTTGGTATCAATCGATTTCGGTAGCACAGATTGTGCTCTTCCAATGATTTGGGCATTGGAGAAGAAGGAAGAATTTGATGTCTTTATCGTTATTACTGATAATGAAACATGGGCTGGTTCGGTATGTTAAAATTTTTCTTTTTTCAATCCGCAGTTATCTTCATCTTCCCCAGTAGGCAATAAAATTTTATCGTTTTTCCTCTAATTTTCAAATCACTTTTTTTAATCAGCGAATGGATGCTTATTCATATTTATTAATAAAATGTGTAAATAAGTTATTTCTCATCAAACTGATTTTGCAGAAATTTATAAGGTTTGACGAACCTTTTTTCCTATATTTTAAAATTCTTTCAATACAGCGAACGATTTATTTATCGGCTTTTTTTTATAAAATCGAAATAAAATTCCACCCATTATTTTTTAGTGATTGAAAGGAGATGTTTAGGTTAAACCATGTGATGCACTATGCAATTATCGAAAAGAAATGAATATACCGGATGCGAAGCTAATCGTTTTAGCAATGACAGCCACAAATTTCACGATCGCCGATCCGAATGACTCCAATATGTTGGATATTGTTGGTTTTGATCCATCGATTCACGAAATGATTTCGAAATTCGTGCTCGGCGAAATTTAAACATTTAAATAATGAAATCTTGTCATTTGTTAATTTTACTGTGGATATCATAACCATTAAGCTATTATTGTTATTATTATTATTACTACTATTATTATTACAATTATTATTATTAATACTGTTATTGATACTATTATCTATTATTAATATTATTAATTAATATTATTAATTAAACAGTGAACTATCGTTATTAAATATGGAGTAATATTGTTTTTATATAATTTCCTTCATTGTTCATTTATTTGATTTTTTTAGCCGAAAGTGGCAGTGGTGTTTGCATATAATTTTTGTAGGATAATGAAATTAGAAATAACCAAATGCAAAGGACCAGATTTATTTGAATATTTGAAAAATTATTTGCAGTAAGTATTACGAGATTTATAGACGTTATGAAAAGAACTATTATGTGCAATATCCATTTTTATTTTCTATTTTCTATTTTTTTATTTTTTGCTTTTTCTTTTTTTGGGCAAATTCGCTTTTTGCATATCTGTGTGAAATCTATTCATTAAAGTGTTTCATATATTCGTATAAATTTTTATAAGATTTTTAAATAAAAATTTAAATATAACGAAAAAAAAAAGTTTAACAAAGAGGTTTTACTCATTTCAAAGGACCGAAAATGAAATTCTTCCAAGGATGGTTGCAAGTTGTGCCGCAATTTGTGGTGGGTGTGGCCATTCAATAATCCAGCTGGCCGCATTTTACGAAGAGGTTTGCCACATTTCAGAGTTCTTCATATTGTTTAATTAATTTTTAAATTTAAAATATGAGTCCTTGATTTTCCCTTGCTTTCTTTGGTACTTTAACCGATCGCAAGTACCATTGCTTGTACACATCCTAAACATTGGCGTTATTAAAAAAATAAAGTCTATATGTCGCTGATAAAAGGAAAATCCGAGTTTAATATAAATAAATTAAGCGCTAATCATTCTCTAATTAGGGTTCATTCAGTTGATCACTTCGATGATTAGAAATTTTCCGCAGAGAGTCACAAATTGGTCAATCAAGTATCAATGGAATTTTTTTTTCTTTTATTCTATTATTTTTATTTATTCTGCTTTGAAGAGGGACTATTGGTTCCTTGAAATGAATAATGAATATTCTATTTTATCATTCCACCCATAAATGATAAGTTGATAAACTTATGAGGAATTTAAATAATTTTTAATATTATTTTTTAAATATTTTTAATATTTTTAGAAGAATAATGGCAACAATATATATTGCATTAGACTCATCGATATCGATGCGTTTACAAATTTCTGACGATTCATCTTTAACTCGGTGGCAATTTGCTTGTCAATTAGCATCTCAATTAATTCAACGATTCATCGATACCTATATTACTCGTTCGGTGAAATTGGTTATTTCTTATTTTAATTCAAAATAGTTTTCTAGTTAAATTAAATTGGTATTATTAATCTTTTCACTTTCTTTCCTTGCACTGCTCTATCTTTGTTGTTATCACACTTTATCAACTTTATCAATAATTTTATTTCATTTGAAAGAAAGGAAGAAATATTGAAGAAAATTAAAAGAAGAGCGAAAAATGAATGATGATAAGCGTTCATTATTATCACTAAACCATTCCGAAATGTATGAAATGAAATTTTTTTATCAATAATAATATTAAAAAGTTATGAGAATCTATAAAATGAGGAAAAAAAAAAGCGAGGAATTGTCGTAGTAAATAATTGATAGCTTTTTTTTTTATTACCAGTATAATATACGGTTGTACATTTTCTTTTGAAAATGCATTTTGCAACACCATATTGGTATCGATTGGTCCTCGGGAAATCTTTGCGAAGGGTCCTCGAAATTTTTCTTCATAGCGTTATTTTTTGTATAAAAAAATCCCTTTAATTCTCTTTTATTATTCAGATTTTATTTTTGAGTACAAGGATCAACCTTATTATAAGAAGCATATTATTCGGCTATTCCACGCTCTTCATATTCTCTTCATATAAAAAATTGAGCGAAGTGCACAGAATGGTCGAATAGTATGAATTTTAATAGCCACTAAATAAATTCATATTTTGTAGCAAAAAGGTTTTTTTGAGGTATTTTATTTTTTTATTCATTTTTTTTCATTCTTATTCTTATAGCTATAGGAGTTATAAAATCCTTTTCAAAATTGAAAAAGTAACATTTTTTTTTTTGTTGGCAAAAGAAGAAAGAAAGTTATTGAATCTTACATGGTACCTTTTTAATGGAATTAACGATAGTCAATTCAATTATTCTTTCAAAAATAAGAAATCGAAAAGAAAAAAGAAAATAGGAATGAAATATTCCTAATTTATTTATTTAATCATCATTTTCGTAATCCTTCATTTGAATATATATTAATGAATTAGGAATTTAAAGATCGAGCGACTTGGCCTTGGCTTTCCTTAAAATAATATATTTTTTTAATTTAATAAATTTGGATATTATTTTTATAATTTTATAATTTGTTATTTTATTTTATTTATTTCTCGTTTTATGCGACCCTTTTTCAGGTAAATTTCTCGCACAATTCAAAAATTTTACTCAACAAGATTGTTTCAATAAACGATGTTGATAATGCGCTATCAAAGTATTTACCTTTTTTTTCCACCTGATTTTTCTTTTATCTCAATTTTTTCTGTTTCATATGTATCATAAAAATGATGTGCGTCTTTACAGCTTATTTTTATCTATTTATCTATTATCTATTATTTATTATATATTTTTCTTAGATTACTTTAATTTACTGTTGTTTTGTGATTGATCTTGGCTGCTAATTTGTTTTGCGGTACCATCGTAAAACAGAATTTAAGGGATTATTTGAGGTAAAGTTTAGAGGAACTAAAGATCTGTCTATATTATATTAAATGTAACTGTATAGTATATCTTTTTCGGCTTCTGCCTTTTCTTATAATGTTGATTTTATCATTGAATTTTTGAAGGATTGCAGTCGATGCTTCAGCCGATTTTCTTTCATTATTTTCGCTTATGAATATGGATAAAGCAAATCAGTCAAGTTATCTTCTTGTATTGACCGACGCAGCTGCTTTTACACCAGTAAAATTCTTCTTCTAGCTTTTATTACTGCTGGTTTTTTGACTTAATGACGATTAGATTTCCAAATTTCTCAATCCTTCGGTCAGCATGGCCGCAGCCACTTCTTACATCCCCTAAAGATTGCCTTTATATTCAAGTTCTTTCCTGTCTCTATCAGTCGAGGTTATGATTGGTCCTTCTTGCTTGTAGCACTATCCATTGTAGCAATCAAAAAGTATATTGATTTGGTTCTTGTGGTAGATAATATGGCTTAACCAGCAAGCCAATGATTTTATGGCAATTTCTAGAGTTACTAGAAATTAAAAAAAAAAACCAAAAAGGTATGCATAGTATATTTAGAAGAACAATAAATTATTTAAATGTTAAAATTAATTTTCTACTTTATTCTTTAATATAAAAATATCCCTTTATCCTTATCCTTTTCTTTAAAGGAAGAGATAACTTTCGAAAATTTGCCGAAATGTCGAATACATTTTGCAGTCGTTGTCGATGATCAATTTGTATGCGATGATCAGATTGCTAGATTTGTTGCTATTTCTGGTAAATTTTTATTTATTAATATTTATATATTTTTTTAACTTTCTTACAATTTCAAAATATTTAATTTTATTAAAGAAAGTGAAATTTTATTGCAGCGAAAAGTGAAGGATTAACTAATATTGATGATGTAGATGATTTTTTAAATTATTTGCCATATTTCAAAAGTGATTTCGAAAATACCGATGCATATTGTACGGCAATTGCTGAAAATATATGTCCCACTGTTAAAATAACACTTAAATGTGGAATGTTCAGCACTGATATTAAAGTATATTATATTGAATATTATATTGATAAATTTAATCAATAAATAAAAATTACGTATAAATTAAAGCCTTTTCTCCTTTTTGAATAGCTTTTTCAAATATATATTTCTGGTTTGCAATTGATAGAGGGCAAATCTTCAGTTATTACCATCAGAGATGGAAAATGAATGGGACAATCAAATAGAAATTATTGGTTTTGTCAAATCGGCAAATCTAGCCAATGCTCCATCTTTTGATCATCATTTTATTGTGCGAGACGATAAGACAGGCGATAATAGAACATCTGATGAAAATTATTTGTTGAATATGTTATGTTCAGCATTGCAAATAGAAGATTCCGTCGCTATTTGTCGTCTTAATGCTTATACCTATGGCACGATATGTCCTATAAGGTAAAAAATTTGATAAAATTTTATTTAAAAACTAAGAAATATATTTCATTGAAATGGAGAAGTTTTAGAGAATGGTTTTTAATAATTTGTTATCAAATCATTTCTATTGAGTATTTTTTATTTTCTAAAAGATTTTCTTATATTTCTATTATTGTAGAGAATCAAATTCGTGGCAATTATCCATTCAATCGTTTCCACTCGGATTAAATTCTCTCAGTTGGATCCCAAATTTTGAGGATTTGACTATAAAAGTAAATTATCTTATCTTTATTATTATCTTTTTATCTAATTTTCTTATCTTTTATCTTTAAATTATCTTTTTTTCTAATTTTTTTTAACGAATTTTGCCACTTTTGATCTTTTCTGTTTTCTGTATAATTTTTTATGTTTTATTTATTTATTATTATTTTATTTTATATAATTTTCTAGGAGAAAATCCGATTTTACAGGAAGAACATGATAATGCATCAAACGATTCAGAAGATCTTTCTGCTGCTGTTGATTGTTCTGCTAGGTTATCCTATTCTGCTACTAATATTCGAACTTGTTGGAATGATGTCCATGGCATTCAGAGTGACGTGCAAAAGCTTGTTCGTTTATTAAGGAAAATGCCAGAGCGTACAACAGCTTTTTATACAGTACAATATTTTAAAATAATGACTTAAAATAATGTGTACAATATTTTCTTATCATATATCATAGTGCGATAATATGTGATATTCTACGATCAATTACCAACTGTTTTGATTTAGGTTTAATTGTATTAGTCACTATAAACCACAAAAAATTTTAAATAATTTAGTTTGATTTGTTGATAATCATTGATCAATATTTTATATATTACCTAAGTTCCTTTTTAATTCAAAATTTTAGGAATTAAATCGAGTGAATGCATATGCATGTGCAATTGGAGCTGAAGATTTTCTCCAGAAACTCATCATTATAATGGAAAAAGAAAGTGAAAATTATTGCGCAGTCGTAAAAAAACATTGTTCTCATGTTTGTGAGAGATTAAGGTAATTTTTAATTTTTAATAGATTAAGGTAGTAATTCATGACAGATTTATTGCTGGGATAGGATTTCTTAAAAATGGCGGACTATAATTTTCCTCTAAAATATGTTCGAATATTGCTCAATAAAAGATAATTAAAAAAGGCAAAAATTTTTTTCAGTATAATTCAAGTCAAATATTTTTATGAAATCATAAATGTTTTATCATTATTATATCGCAGGTCATTATTTTTTAAATATCGTTTAACTATTTTAATAGCCACTTAATCTATTCGATATTTGCAGGCGTGGCGGAATCTCAGACGCTTCTGAAATATTACCTCCTCGTTGATAATTATTCTCAGTCTTTTCAGGTATTTTTTATGACACGGATATCAGCCAAACCCTGTGATATACCTTATTCTTATTTTATTTTATAATTTTACTATCGTTATGTAATTTCTTCTAACTTATCACTATTTTTCGCTGAATTAGTAGAAAATAGGAATGAAGAGTCGATAGCCGAAGTCGAATTATTGCGATACTATCAATGAATATATTAAAATAAAATTTAGGAAAAAAATCTACGAAAAAAATTTCATAAAACTCAGTAAATCAATGCCGATTTTAAAATATGAAATTCAGAAAAACTTATTATTTTTTTTTATTTCTGGTAATGATTCGAATATTTTGTGCATCAACTGATAGATTCGTGTCACTTCCATCCACTTGCAAGTTTCTTGAAAACTTTATGCCTTTATGCCTACCATTCTCTTTCATTCATTATTTTATTATAACACATCATTTGTTTTTTGCTAAGCGAGAAATCAGTCGCATGCGACTCTTGTTAGTGATATTAGTCATAGTCATAGTAGTGATAATAGTGATAACAACAATAATAATATTAGTCGTTTATTTTTTAATAATAAAACACCATGCTCCAACCATCAAAGCAACATTTATTTTTTAATATTTTAATGATTACTTCTTGCATTCGTTATTGTTCATTTTGGCTTTTACTAATGGGAAAGCAAAATCCGAAGCCATTATTATTACAAATCAGTTTTGGTAAAATTTAAACTTAGAAATTCAATTTATATTAAATTCGATTGTTCAATTTTTATTAATTTATTATTTAAAATGTGGTGAATGTTGAACAGAGATGAATTAAGAAAATTTTCGATATCGTCACACCAGTATTTTGATAAATTCAGCCCATTCTTAATTGCTTCATGAAAATTTAAGATTTCATTAATTTTGTTGTAAAATTTTTTTGATTTATTGATTTTGATTTATTTTTGATTTAAAATAGATCAATGAGAATTCAATCATTTGTATCGATCGTTTCCCTATTTTATATTTGTATTTCTATTTTATATTTCAATCTTTTTTTTTTTCGTTCAAATTTATAATTTTTAGTGATTTTTTTGGTGATTATTTTAATATATTATTGTACAATACTATATTTTTTTCATCTTTTGAACTGATTTATTTTTGTCTTTAGTAATTCGGTGAGAAATGTTTTTTTATATGTTAAATATCTTTTTATTATCAGAAAAAATGAATTTATGATAAGTGAGTGAGTGATATTACCCATAACAAAGAGCGAAAGCTATCATAAAAGAATTGAAAAAATTATTCAATCTATAAATATGAGAATGACCAAATACATAAATACTCAAAAATGCCACACCTTGGCAGTCATTAGATTTAAGCGAGAAATATGAATTGCAAACAGAAAAGAAATGAAAAATAAGGACAATGGACAATGGTACTATCACTAAAATAAATCAAACTGTTATTTGCAGTATCAACAAAAATCAGAATTACTTTTATATGCTTATAATTAATTACTTTTATAAAATAATCAGTCTAAAATAAAAATAGTCTAAAAAATGAATAACTAAATTGCCTATAAGACTTATAATCCTTTATTATAATAAACAGTATGAGGAGGATTAGAAAGTTTGTTGATTTTTTCCTGTAATTCTGGTTCTAAATCTTTTACTTTAACGGAGCTTAACTGAGGAAATAATGCACAACAAAATGGAGTTGAGAATAAAAGTATGAGACCAGCTAGCGCTGTCTGCAATGGAACGGCTAACCACGGTCGACGCTGAAAATATAATTATTATAATTATTCATTTAATTTTATTCATTTATAATTAAATTACTATATATATTTTATAATTACTCATTTGATTAAAAAGCAAAGTTCGTTATTTTTTTTTAAGTGAAAAATTGGTAATTAAAAAAAAAATCGAATGAATTAGAATCAAATATTTACTTTATACCAATGCGTCTTTACAACTGAATTCATAATAACAGGAATCACCACTGCAAAATAGATATCATTTCAATAAAAAGAAAAAAACGAGAAAAGTTTAAGAAAAATTTTTTCTAAGAGCACCATCGCTGGTTCAGTTTACCGCTGGTTTGACTCGAATTGAACAAATTTGCCATCAACTGGGAATCAACTGGCGATAGAAATGCAAATGACCAGGGTTTTTGAAAGACAGGTTTAGTCCTACAGAGACCCAATAGTACCTCAACATCAGCATTCAAAATTAAGTTTTCGTCTTTGGGCAATACTACCATAAATGGTATGGGCTATCATAAATGTTTCTGTCAATCAAACTCGAGCCGTTCATAATAAATGTAATAAAATATTTCGATTAAATATTAAAAAATATTTAATATTTAAAATATTAAATATTATTTAAAATAATATGCATTAATCATCATATCATTAATTAAAATAAAAAAAAAAAACTAAAGGGCTTTGCTGATCTCATTTCGGAGCGTCGACGCTGATTTCACTCCCGAAATGAAAAAATCCTTTTTTTAAAAATCCAAGTGGTGCTGGAAACTCACTTGTAGTTACTTATAGTTCTATCGCCAAATGAATCCAAAAAAGACTGATCAGCAGAATAAGCATATCAATAAATGATGAGTATTCTTAGAAAAAAAAATGATTACAAAGAAGAATAAATGGCATTGTCTATAAAAATTATTAATAAAGAAAGTGTATGCAAAATAAAAAAATCAACCAAATGTTGGCGTAGCCATTCCGACACGGGAAAGAGTGACTTGTGCAATCGCTTTTGTAGCAATTTTTGTACTTGATCCTAATTTATTCCCATCTTCATCTTGTACATCAATCCCATCAACGAATTCTCTGGAAATAATTCCAATTTATAAATGTTATACCTAATAATAGAGAATACTGGAATAATTTGCATGGCATAAGCTATTTTTATTTATTTTAAACTTTTACAAAGCTATAAATAATATGTTTAAAAAGTATTTAGATGGGTCGGGTTTCAATGTAGTGTAATGACGTTTTTCACTAATTATGTACTTTATTTCTTTCTTCTTTACTTTAAAAATATAATAATAAAAAGTAAAGTATATTTGCACTTACCTTGCTCTCATCATTGGAATATTAATCATATTTGCAGTTGCAACAGCGCAAAATGGTACTAGCCGTCCAATCAGAGGTGGTGCACTCTAAAAATCCCATTAATTATTTCAGTTTATAGCTGATCATTTATTTAATAAATCAGATATTTTATAAGAAAATAAAGAGGAGTTAACAAAAATAATAATTTTCGTTCGTTTTTTTCTCGAGATTTAACTTAGAAAGTTCCAATAAAGTAGAAAATTCAAAATTCGACTAAAATAATATATTTCTGTTTCCTGAAAGAAAAAATAAATGTACTATTAAAAGTGAAAATGGTGGTGGAGGATTTACTTATGCTTTTATTTCCAAGTTATTCTCTGAAGAAAGGATATTATGAGGGATTCTAAAAACAGAATTAATAAATGCGATCAAAAAAATAAAAAATGGGAAAAAAAACCTTGACAAGTGCATTAAGTCCTAGGCCAGCAGCAAGTGCACCACCTGTTGCACATACATATGATGCAAAGAGTTGTCTTAGCGATACTTCATTTCCTGCACGATTTGTATAATTAACAACCGCATTAAACGATTGATTTAACCATTGCCAGAATATTACCTCTCGAGGTGTCCTTGAAATTATATATTTTACATAAATAATAAATAAATATTTTAAAATTTAAAATAAAAATAAAAGATTTCGATTTAAAAGAAAAACATTAAGTAAAATTTGCAATTTGAATTTAATCAAATTTTTAAGCTATTATTGAAAATTTTTATTTTAATTTTTAATATTGATTTTAAAATATTTGTTTTGTACGAAAAAAAGACGATGAAACCTTTTCAAGTAAAACGATCGGCACACAAAGATGATTTATGGGAGTCTATAAAAGAAGTCTGTCGTAATAAAAAGAAAAAAAAAATGTCACTAAATTTAATCAATCAAATTTACTTTTCACCTAACTCATTAATACTAATATACCAAAAATATAGAAAACGCACTTATAAAAGGTCAACATGGCACCAGTTAAAGCCATATTAAATGGTACTTGTGCACTCATTCTACCTGGAAGGAACATTTTTTGATAAGTCGTTGGATGATAAGCCGAATCAAATATTTGCTTTGCACGCCATAGTTCATCAACAGTTAAATTCTCAGGAATAATACCCGATCTAAAGAAAATATTAAAAATTTTTTATATAAATTTATCCATAAAAAAATATTAAATTTTATCAAAAAAATTTAATTTTAATTTTTTAAAATAATTTTAGAGATGAAAAAATTCACTAAGATCGAATGTTATAGCTGTCATAGCCAAAAATCAAATATTGCTCGGAAATTTATTTGCTTTTTTTTCTAATTTTATTTAAAAATATTAATTTATATATATATATATATATCTATATACATACTTTTTTTAGAGTCCTCACCAATACTAATTAAACTCGCTCCGCTGGTTTGTCGCACTGGACAAATATGCCAAAGAGTCCCTTAGCGAAAGAATGACAAGTGAGTTAGCATCACCCGGATCCTTGGACAGGTTTACTCCTACGGGGAATAGAACGTCAGCATCGATTTAAGCAACAACCCACTGAGCCATTCTATCCCCAATTTTTATATATATATATATAATTTATATAATTAAATTTGTAATTATTAATTATTAATTTATATATATATATAATATAATTTAATTTCAACCCAATAAAATCAAATAGGCCAAAATTATTAAAACCTAAATATAAAACTAAGCAAAGCGCATATAATTTCGCATCATCATTTAATTACTGGAATAAGCGGCCGAATGACGCTGTCATCATCCTTAGTTATATTTTAAAAAAAAATATTAAGTAATATCAAAGATTAAATAATATGATTATTATGATTATTTAAAAAATTCCACATTATGAAAATAACCTGAAATCTTTATCTTTTATCATCTGATTATCACCTGTCAATAATAATAATAATAATAATAATAATAATAATAATAATAATAATAATAATAATAACAATAATAATAATAAATTCAACTTTGATTTCGATTCGACTTATTGTTATTATTATTATTATTACTATTATTATTATTACTATTATTATTACTATTATTATTATTACTATTATTATTATTACTACTATTATTATTACTATTATTATTACTATTATTATTACTATTACTATTATTATTACTATTACTATTATTATTACTATTATTATTACTACTACTACTATTATTACTATTATTATTAATATAAAAATGTGGCGCTTTTCGTCCTAATTGATTATTTCCAATAAATTAGAAATTCGCTTAATTTTAGTTCCCTTCTTTTTTTATAAATAGAAAAATCACTAACTTATAATTCATAACGATTTGTTTCGAATGTTCGAGCCGTGAATTACTTATAAAAAGATTTAATGGATTTGTTATAATAAAAAAATGCTTTAAACGACCATCGAAAGTTTTTTGACTCCAACGCGGCTTACTTATATCCGGTTTTATTGATAAATTTTTTACTAATTCTGACATTTTTATTTTTTCTGCAAAAAAAAAATCAAAAAAAAAAATGAAAAAATAAAAATTTTATATTAAAATTTTAAAAATCTTAAATCTTTAAATTTAAATTTTAAGTAATTAAAAAAAAACCACAAGGAAGGCGTTTCTCGTATTTTACCATTTAGCTTTATTTGACCTTTGAACTATTAAATTTTTACAGGAAAAAATTGAAATTTGAAATTAAAATTAAAATTTGAATTTAAATTTTGAAATTAAATATATATAAATTTAATTTACAACAGATAAGATTATTATTTTTATTAGAAATTTTTTCAAAATTTCAAAGTTTTATTTTCAAAAAAAAATTAAAAATTATTTTAAAAAGTATTTTTATTATAATTAAAAATATCGTAAAAAAATATTTTAATTTAATCTATTTTTTCCAATATATTTCAATTTTGCAAAAATTTGCCGATTTTATTTTTCATAAAATCTCAAACGATTTTCAAGAATTAAAAAAAAGAAACAAAATTTAAAATTGTCCGCCGTCATAATAGACCGATAAATAGTAATTAAATAAATTTCCTATAGAAGAGAGAAGAGAATTAAAGAAAAAAGGGCATTTTAAATGTTTAGACATAAGGAATTCGCTATGAAAAAGAGAGAAGGCAGAAATAAAAAAAGGCCAAAGTTAAAAATAGAAAGGATTCGGCAGAAGACGAAGCGCGGAATTTGATGGTGAATGGGAAGGAGTGGTGTGGTACGGGGGAGGGGTAGGGGGAGGAGAAGGGGGAGACTACCGCGAGCATCGACGGGGTTGAAAGGGGGAAAGAAATGTGAATGAACAATGGGCAGGTTGAAAGAGAAAGGAAATATAATAAATTTAAAGTAAGTTTATTTAATGGAAGAGAAGGAAGAAAAATTATAATGAAGGCGTTTCTCGTATTTTGCCATTTAGCTTTGTTTGACCTTTGAACTCTTAAATTTTTATAAGAAAAAAATACAAATTAAAGAGGAAATTTATCACTTTAGAAGAATTTTGGAAAAATAAAAAAAAAATTTTTCGTGCATAAATAAATAAATGATAATTAATGATAATAATTAATGATAACAGTGGATTAAAAAATGCGCGTTGCATAAAGCGATTTTAATTGATGAGTCATTCATGTTTAAATATATTTTATTTTTACACTTTAAAATATCGTTATCTTCGTTATCATCGTTGATCATTATCATCGTTATCATTATTATTGTGGAGTTTTTAATCCCAGTATCACTTAACATTTTTTGATAGCACTTATCTTGCACGTAATTCGTAAAAAAAAATGGCGGATAGCTTATCTTTCTCGTGATAAGCTTCTTCATTATTTTTCATTCATTTCATCTATATTCATCCATCGAAAATTTTTTAAAATTTTAATAATTTTTGATTTCTTCTAAAATGAAACGAAAAACTTCTATCTATTGTTGTTATCACCATTATCATCGTTATCAGTTATCAATTTTGTTTTTCATATCACAACGATCTCATTTTTTGTCGCTTTAAAAGCCAAAATTATTTTTTAGCGATTTTCAAATTTCTTTTTTTTTTATTTCTTTTTGTTTTCACATAATTTTCGTTTAAATTTCAGAAAACCAGAAATTCATTTTGAAAAATAAATGTTTTTTTTTTTTTTCGGCGAGAGTAATTCGCTTCGATGCATTTATAATTTATGCCAATTTTAATGAAATACGAAAGTGAATGGAAAATTTTTAATTTATTCAAAAATTATTTTTTATGATGAAAGGTTTTTTTCATTTTTTATTTTTAATTTTTATTTTTTTACTTTAATTTTTATTTTTTTAAAAAGACTTTTATTTTTAATTTTTATTTTTTATAAACAAATAAAAAATTATTAATGGTTAAAATTATTATAAATTATTAATTATAAATTATTATTAGTAATTTTATTGTCGTAAAGAAAAAATAAAAATTGGCTGATTTGTTTCAATGATTCAATTATTTGTACAAATATTTGGCATATCGGTGAATTTTGTCACCAACTGTATTCATAGCTATTTTCATATATTTGTTTTTCCATTATTTATTATTCCTACGTATTTATTTATGTATTTATATTATTAATTTGTTTTTATGCAAAAATAATTATTCTCAGAGAAAAATTCCACACTTATCAACGACTTCATCATAATGATAACTAAGAACGCTTCCATTATAAAATTTTAATAAAAAAAATTTAATCAAAAAAATCTTAGCCTTAGAAAAAGGAAAATTTCTTCATTATTTATTATATTATTATATTATTATTATAATATTATTATTTATTATTATTTTCTATTATTATTTATTATTATTATTAATTATTACTATTATTATTAAAGAGTGAACTAAAATTTTCCTTATTTTAGATGAATTCTGACGCAACAGATGAGGAAAAACTAAAATCGCTCGGAGGTATAATGAAAGGTATAATGAGGTCGGAATCGTGTAAGAATAATAGGAAACCAGCAACGAGAAAGGAAGAATTAAAATGCAGTCCGGATAGAGATGAAATTCAGGTGAAATAATGATCATCTTAAATATAACTTTTTATCATAAAAATATATGCTAGTAGGATAAACAGCGAATATTTTCCATATATAAACCATTGCTAGGCTTGGCTCGCAATCTAATAAGCCTATTAACAAGTGAATCATTTCTGAAAAGAGTATTTAATCATGCCTCGTCCTAACTGGTAAATGGTTGCAATGGAACCAACTGGCTCAAATTCCTCGTATTCCTCTCGTATAATAATTTGCATGTTCTCATCATGTCGTGCTCTTCTGTAATTCTGTTATTTATATAATAGCATAGCATTAGTATTTGTCAATAAACGATTTAGAATTTATATAGTTTGATGTGTGAAGCGAATAAATAAACAGCACTTCATAATCTGTTGAATTTGTAAAGGATAGTTCAACGTTAGCTTTATTATCATTTTTAATTTTGGCATCGGATCGAACAGCTTAGAGGCGTCTTATCGTGGAGCCAGCGAAACCATCCTAACCAGTAATGGTGAGAACTGTTAGAAGAAGAAGAATCTTTTTTAGGAATATACGATAAAGTGACAGAAATGAGATATTTTTATGTATTTAATATATTTTAATATATATATATATTTATTTATTTATATATATATATTTATATATTTTAATTTTAATATGTATTTTATATATATATATATATAATATATGTATTTTAAAATAACAAATTTTAATATATTTTAAATGATTTTTATGTTTTAGTTGTGAAATATCGGAAATATAAAAATTTAAAATTTTTAATTTTATTTTTCTAACAACCTACACCATTTTCGGTTCGAATTTGATCATTCTATTAAGTAATCAGATGAGACTATTTAAAGCACTTTTCCCTTTTTTCCCCCTTTTGCTCACTATCCGATATTGGAAGGAATTCTTTTCTTCGAACATCTAAACCCATATATCGCTGGTTCGCTGATGTATTCTTTGCTACTGGTATTAATTCGGATCTTGATTATAGGCCATGGCTTTTGGCGCATTCATTTACTAGCATATATCAATATCCCACTGTGGGTGGTAATAATAAATATTTTCAATTTCGAGTCTTCTACCAGAGACCTGGGAGATTGAGGAATCTTGCGCAACATCTTAACTGGTGCTGCTGGTGCGTTCTTCTGGATAGAGATCTCTGATGAATGTAGAAGCCACTTTTCCAACTTAGGGATCACGATTCCTCCAGTTTTCGCTGGAATTGTTTTGGCCTTTACTTTCCATATCTTCATATATATGTGATACAAAAATTTAATAGATACTTTTTTAATATTAGTGGAACTAGCTGAATCAAAAATGGTGTCTATTGTTAGAAAAGAAAGATCTGACAGGTGTGCATTACTTATGTGACCTAAAATTCCTTAAATAATGAAAATTTTCAGTCGCAGACTATTATGAAAAAGAAATTCAGCAAAAGTTGTGAACATATTGAGAATAAAAATGTGAATATTAATAAGAAATTGGAGAATTTTAGTGATGAACCCGCGAAAAAATTATTAATTAAATGGCGAAATATTGCTAGGTAATAATTATTTTCCTATTTTTATAACCTTTAACTGCCATTATAATCGTTTTTTTTTTTTTTAATTAAGAATTTTTTAATGGAATAATTTTAAAAAGTTTTAATTCAGAAATGCGGTTTTTATGAAAGATCCATGGTCACGTTTTGGATTCGATGATTTACCTGTGGAAAATTGCTTACGTTATCGTTATTCATCGATTAGAAAACAGTGGACTCAAGATAGAGTACAAGTCAAATTACATCCTGAGGTTGGTTTTTTTTTTACTGTTTTTTGCTTTTGGTTAATTAGCCAAGAAATAAGGAATTTTCTTTTTTTTTCTAGCTTCTCATTCATTACTAATTTGGATGGCTGCAAATATTTAGCTATAACGATAAGGCGTTCTCAGATTTCTTGATTAGGTACCGCACCACACTCCTTTACTAAATTCACTACTTTTACTACTTTTAACCACTACTTTTCACCATAGATCAGTTCTAATCACTTTACATTCGAAATCTTTCCAGTAATGTAAATATACAGATATAGATATAAATGCATACAGATCTTGATTGAACCTCCTTGACTATTCATGACTATAGTGAAATATGCAATATTCCGATGATGAGGATAAGGTTTAGCCAGACGAGATAATGCCAGCAATATAGATGGTATTTGAGTGAAGTGGTCGCATTAGCGAAATTAGGCTGGAAAAGTTAATTGCTTTTTGAAATTTTGCTCTCTCATTGGCCATATCCATTTCTTATAGCCATACAGTTTCGCCTGAACGAAAAAACTAAAAGTATTTAATAAGTTCCATCCAAAAGAAAGCATTTCTAAACTATAAGTGCATTTTGACATTCCATCTTTCGCCAAGCCATTAACTAAGTTATGGTAGTGAGGCCTGAATTTATAAAAAGATGTTTTTTGCAAGCTTCTAATATATTCGCTGCAGTTTCACTGCAGTTGTCGGTCTAATGTTTCTTTACAGTTTCTACCGAAAAGGGTTAATATTATTGTTTGAAATATATGACAGTTTGCTTTTTCTTTTTTCTCTTGTTTGAGCTATGAGATTAACCACAGCCTTACAATATATAAAGCTATTATTTCGAAAGGTTACATCAGTTTCCCCTTTGCATCATATTTATATCCTCTCTAGTCTCAGGTGCCAAATTCAAGCAATTTTTTACAATTCTTTTTTAGCCATTCGCTCACGGAGCAATGCGTGAATGTTATCGTTTGAAAAAATTATCAAATGCTACAAATAATGATTGGACTCATGCACAGAATTATGTAGCGAAGAAATATATTAATGAAGTTAAAAGACAGGTATTTTTAATCGATTTCAGAATGTTAATTTTTATATAGGAAATTATGCATAGTTTTTAGTTATGCTTAATGATAATATGTTATTTTTGGCGCAGTCATTTTTTAACAAAGCTGTTTTTTTTTAGTCAAATTCTTTTATGAAATAAAAAATCCTTGTGAAAATATGAAAAACAAGTAAAAAATTAATGATAATTCTATTTTTAATCTGATTTAAACTTCATGGAATCCTTAATCGAGAAATGAGTTGAAATGGATGAATTTAAAGATTTTGGCTTTCCTTATTTATTTCTACTTTAATTATTTGATTTTTAGACAGTCTTCGAGGATGTTAAATTGCAAATGGATAGCAAACTTTGGGCTGAAGAATATAATCGATATAATCCCCCTAAAAAAGTTTGTTAATTTCTATTTTGGCCAAACAATCACGCATATGTGCAGTTCACAAGCAATAAAGATTTTTAGACTAATGGGTTTTTTTATTGCTTAAACATTAGCATGATTTTTTCATTTCTTTATTTCCAGAAAATCGATCATTTATATAACTGACGGTCTGATGAATTAATTTTAGATGATAATTGTAGTTGGAATCGCCCATCTGGATTAATTCATTTCTTGAAATACTTTGCAGATCGATATTTTTCAAGTAAGTATATTGGAATTTATGGAGAGGAATGGATCACCTCTTTATCAACTCGAACATTTCATTGAAGGTAAATACGTCAAGTATAATTCCAATTCCGGTTTCGTGTCGGATATCGTGCGTAATACTCCTCAGGTTTAATTCTCCCATTTCTCGAAATATTGTTCCAATTAAGTTAATCTCTTCATGATTCTTAATTTTCAGTTGCTTTCCAGTTTATTTCAGCTTCATTTTTTAATTCCATTTTGCAAATTTGTTTGTCGAGAATTTGAATTATATTATGTTTAAAAAAAGTGAAAAGAAAAAAGTGAATAAAAATTTGCTTTCTTTTTTATTTGTTGCATCATATATTAACGTGCTTCAGGCGTTTAGCCATTTTACTTTCGAACGAAGTGGCCATCAACTAATAGTTGTCGATATTCAAGGAGTTGGTGATCTATATACAGATCCACAAATACATACTGTAGGATCTTATTGTCGATTTATCTTTCGCTTTTTTTTTCATACGAAAATTTTTTCGATAATTTTTTATTTAGGCGAACGGCACAGAATATGGAGATGGAAATCTTGGTACGAAAGGAATGGCGCTATTTTTTCATTCACATATTTGTAATGAAATTTGCGACCATTTGGGTCTCACAGAATTCGATCTCTCACCGAATGAGAAAAAGGCTTTGCAAAAAAGGACTTTTTTTGATAAGGTTGAGAATTTAAAATATGTGAAAACATATTTTATATAAATATATAAATAATTAGGGCATTAGCATTTTTGAAAAATATATAAATAATTAGGGCATAAATAAATTTAGCCTTTTTTGTACCACAAGGGAAGGAATATATTGTCATTGTAGGCGATTTCTTCGAGTAGTTCTTATAATCTCTTGGAACTCGAAAATCTCCGAATGACTCTACACCAAAATGATCTCTAGTAAATATGACCAGTGAAACCAAAAATAAAAAGTAGAAAATGAAGATGAAACTAGGATGGTTTATGTTACGTATTATTAGTTTCACGTATTATTAATTCACCACACATAATTATTTTATAATTATTTTAAATATGTAACTTGATAAAACATTTAGAAAGATACATAGCTCGAGAAGTCTCACTGTATCATTTTGTTCTGTTTAGAAAACGAGTTGTGCAACTAGACTTGTTTGCAGCGATAAGATCGATGTTTGTTCCCCCATAATTTATGCTTATGAGGATAATGCGATGGAAAGATTACGCATCAGGACACAGTCTATGAATAGTATGGGACGACAGTCAACAGGTTAATGATTTAAACAATTTTTTTTTTTTTGATATTTCACTGATTTACGAAATATGACAAAGAATTTATGGTAAACAATAAACCTATGAGATTTATTAAATTTGGAAATTCGGCAATAAAATTTGGTTTGAAAAATTAGGTGCAATGAAGTGAATTTTTTTCAATGTTTTAAAATGAATGTTAGATAAATTTTTATTTTGTTCAAAAAAATTTAAAACCTTTCCAGTATCTTCAATCTGCGACTCATCATCGCTTGATGACAATTGTCTTGCTGGAGACTATTCTACATCAGGACTTATCGGCGATATCAGTCTACTAGAAAATGATGTAGTGGATGATCATATTGTGCAGAATTCGCCTCTTAACGTATATGCCAATCTGCATTCAGCATCAACAGGAGTTTGTATTATTATTGTTATTATTTTTTAAGAGAGTAATCATGTCTTAAATTGTTTATCACAGCTAAAAATTAAAATTGCAAAATTGAAACTTCAAAAGAGTCGAGAAAAGGGCAACGATTAGAGGTAAATTAGAGGTAGAAGCAATTAGAGAGCGAAAATAAAAAAGAATACAGGTGTACATTTAAAGCTCATCATCTTATTCATCTTAATGCATATTTTCATACATATGCATGTATATTTTTGCTCTCACCTTTTAAATTTTGGAGCATTGCCGCCAATTAGTTTAAGGCAGAGTTTAAATTAGGCCGGCAAATAGGAGGCCCAAGTTCATTCATGAACAGGTATATCGCTTCCTTACTATCCTTTTATCTTCTCTTAATCCACTATTTAAATAAATATACAAGTTCTTCAGTAAAAATCGCTAGCATGCCAGCATTTATGTAATTTTTCAATAACAATTCTTAAGCTTATTGTTTTTATGAAATAGTATAACAGTGAAGATAAACAAATAATCTTCAAATTTCAGAACTGAGAGAGCGAAAAAAAATGTTGAAAATATTTAAATTATTTAAATATTTAAATTATTATTTTTTTTAGGACTCAGAAAAAGAGAAATATTGGGTTGAAGCGAGAAAAATGTCTCGGCCTGCTGGTTTATTAAACGAAATACAAAGGAGAGATCTAAGGAATCATTTTCAATTGGTACATCATCATTCAATTCTTGGACAAGTATATTTTTGATATATTTTTGACTATTTACGAATGTTTTGATTCGCTTTTCGAAGTTATTTTTTATTTTATTCCTATTAATTCAATTCAAATGAGCTTTGGAATTTTTAAAATAATTCCAATAATAATTTATTAGACCTAATTTTTTAATTTTTTTCATTATTCTTAAACCATTAAAATTTTATTGATTAATTTTTGTTCATTTTGGTGAAAATATTTGCATATTTAGTGAAAAAACATGAAGTTCTATAAAATTAATTTTAATTATTTTAAGATTCATCTCGATCTTGCCCGATATCACGAACTCGGGCGTTTTATTTACAAATCATTATCAGTATCAGCAAATGAGGAGAATTTCAATAATGAAAAGACAAACATCAATGGTATTACAGGTAAAATTTTTTATTATTCGATTTGTTGAATAATTTTAAAATAAAAAAATTCGTTTCTGGGATAAATGAAATTTATTCTTAAAATAAATTTTCAGAGGACCAAAGCTATAGATGAATTGCATTAAGTAATAATTTTGAAGTAAAAAATAATTCTGCAGAAAGGCAAGCGTGACATATAAATTCTATATGCAAAAAAATCCAAATATTTCTGCTAATTTTTTATTTTCTTATTTTTAAATATGAAAATTTGCACAATATTTTACATTTTCCTAATATTTTCATTTATCATTTTATCATCATATAATATTTATAATATTTATCATCATTATCATTTATATCATCATTCTTTAAATTATTTCATAACGTTATATCCTATATTATTTATCAATAATTTTAAAAAATAAAAATAAAGCATATTTTATTTTTCTGTTATATTCTTAAGCGAACATCTTTTAAAACATTGTATTTTATATTTTCTTATAGTCTATCTTCGTTTAAAAGTCGTTCGAATCTCATTTCGAATCGAAACCTTTTCTCTTAAAGTTTTTTTATTCACTTTACTTCTTTAAATCTTTAATTTTTCCATATTTTCTGTATCCTTGTAATATATAATATACATATCATAAGGTACATCAAAAAAATTTTGGGAAATATTATAAAAGACGGCAAAAAGTAGGAATATATAGAATATAGAATAAAGTATAGTTTAGAATCATAGTTTAGAATTTAGAATTTTTTATTCAAAATAATCTTCCCAAATTACGAATATATTCAAAAATATGATAAACAAAACAGACAAAAAACTAATTACTAATTTTCAACTAATATAATTCATAATAGATTTTTAGTTTGCTTAGAATTTTAATGAATATGAGATTTCAGAAAATTTATGTGAATATGATAAGGAATCAGCACTATTTCACTTAGAGATTGCACAGCGATGTGGTATTCTTGAAGCTATAAAAACTATTGCGGAGATGGCATACGGTATTAAATTTTCTATAATTAGGACCTATATTTTATGCTTTAAACTAAAATTTTATGAAATAACTTTAATCTTAACTTTCAAAGGATTGCCTCATGAATTATTGAAAGAAGTTGGAAATGAATATCGAAATATTGAAAATCGAGAAGAGTATGGTTTAGAACTTATGAAAAGAGCAGCGGATTCAGGTGATGTTGGTGCGATGATTTTTGTTGCAGAAGCCTATGAAACAGGTCGTAATCTTGGCAAAAACAAGTATGTTGAATTGACTTAAAGTATATATTTGTTGTTTTTTATAGAAAATTTCAAAAAAATTATAAAAATCTACATATTTGACAATATTGAATAAAAAACTTTATGGTGCAAAATCGCTATTATTGTGGTTGTTATTTTTGAAAAAGATTCGCAAAAAATGAAAATTTTTAAATTCTTGAAATTCTTTGAGGAAACAAATTTTTACGAGGAGAATATCTGAAAAAGGACTGAAGGGAACTTCGAAATTAAGATTTTTTTAAGTTTGAAAAAACTGATTTGAATTTTCCAATAATTTTTATTTCGTTGTTTTATTTCGTTCCAATTATATTTTTATGATTTTATTTTAGCTTATTTTTTATATTTTGTTTAATTTTAATAATTTTTTTAATTAACTAATTAAAGCTGTCCATGTTGGCCGAAAGCGATCGATTTCTATAATCAGGCAGCACATTATGAGACAGAGCTTGAAGTTAACAGTTGTATTGGCAGTACTTCATTCGCCATGCCTCACTATGAAATTTTAAGCAAAATGGCGGATATGTTCAAAGAAGGTTTAGTTTCTAAGAATTTTCCAGTAGTTAAAAAGCCTCAAATCTGAGAAATTTATTATTGGTATTTTTTTAATATAATTTTGATAAAAGGTTGGAGAAAATATTTTTCCTCATTTCACGATCGCTTTCGTCATTTTTTTCATTTATTTCAATATTATTGCATTATATTTTTCGAATATAGAGATAGCATAAACCAATATTTAAAAACTATTTTATAGGTGGATACGGTTTAGAACGAGATTTAAGTCGAGCCTACGAGCTCTATAATGAAGCGGCAGAAAAAGCGATGGAGTCAATGAAAGGTAAACTTGCTACCAAGTTATACGAGCTCGCTGAACAATGTGCATAGATGGATTGTCAATTCGTTTCACTTATTTCAAATACCATTATCTAATGTTTCGCTCAAACTGTAAAGATCTTCAAACTAAACTAGTCTTTTAGTGTATTTTAGTGTTTTGCACTTTTTATTTTGCAATATTTTGTAGAATTTTTTGAATAATTCTTGGGGAAATCCCGGGTAATCTATTAAAATTAATTTTTTAAATTTTTGGGTACAAAAAAAATGTTGAGAAACAAAAATTTTTAATTTTCCATTTTCACTTTTTAATAGGAGCAAATTCTATGCTGTTTTGGCGATTATCGAAATATTTATTTCTAAATGACAATTTTCTGGTCTAGTTGAACCAGGAATACTGACTGCAGTAAGAAGATATATTTTTTTAAAGATGCTAGAAATTTTTATTATCTTCATCAATCGCTTTTTGTTATCAAACGTTATCATTATCAAA